CGTCGGTGACTTTTGGTGTAATGGGGGCCTTATTCAGACCACAATGACTTAGGAATACTTTGGGCTAAAGTCTCCACCACAAATGTAAAAAATATCAGCTTCTGGAAAACGTCCAAGAAAATATGAAAATAGTGGTAAAATAAAGGAAATAGTCCTAGGTTAAGTATTTATTTATTTTTTTATAAATATGACCAAAGCTTCTTGCTTACTAGACTTATGACATTGTTTTGAGGATATTCTTTCCTTCTAAATAAGAAGTTTGCAAAAATTATTTTTTACACCACCCACGACTGCTTACAGCTACACTTTTTTATAGCACTGATCTTTGTTCTTCTGCTTATTGATTTTATGAGGAAAAGCCCATTACAAAATATTGGTACACTACAAGGAACATTCAGGCTTTTGAATACTGCCCCTTTGAGTCATAAAAGAAATTCTGTGTCTGGGGCCAAAGTCACCCCCAAGGGCCAAAGTATATATTTATGTATGTATGTATACATGTATATATATATATATATATATATATATATATATATATATATATATATATATATGTGTGTGTGTGTGTGTGTGTGTGTATATATGTATATATATATATATATATATATATATATATATATATATATATATATATATATATATATATATCACACAAACATATATATCGAGAGAGAGATACAGACTCACACAGACAGAAATAGAACTTGACATGAAAAAGGTAGTAACCCTAAATCAAAACGGTGAAAGGCCTGAAATAACGCGTATAAAACAGAAAAAAAACAGAAATTAGGTACCCACATTCAGAGAGTAAGAAGTCACCGTGAATACAATGGTTACAAGGCTTTGACAGACTCGAATGAAGCGCCTGAGACAGAAACGACCCAGTGAGTGTTTCTGTAGGAGTTGCTTTGGCGAGGAAATTTTGGGTCAGAAAAATTCAACCTGTGGGCCCTAGGCTAATTCTCAGGTTGGTTTTGGTCATCTTCCAGGATATGAGGATAAAGATAGAGAGAAAGAGAGAAAGAAATTTATGTATATTTATTGCCGTGTAATGTGTGTCTGTATTTGCCTTTGTTCCTGATGGTGTGTTTACGTTCAAGTTTTAAGTGCTATAAACGACTTTCATTTGCAATGGTTGCGGCAAAGTGATCAATTTCTGCACCAAAAATTCATAAAGGAATTAATTAAAATCCTATTCTGAATCTGGAGGAGGACAGTGTGAAGACCAGAAGTCCAAGACCACTTTTCTAGGTCGTAAGAAAAAAAAAAAAATGAAAAAGATGCTTAAACAATAGATAGTTTAGGAGGAAGAATAAACATTCTCAATAGGCAATTCCGTTAGAAAGGAAACTGGATATGTAAGTGAATTGAGTCTTGGAAGCACCGTGTTTGGCAATATTTCAAAAACTCCAGTGGCAGAGAAACCCGTTAGACACAAAGGAAGTTTAGTGGAGAGAAGGGAAGACATTCACTTAGCCATTCAGATTATGCTGAACGGCACTAGATCAGGAACAAAAGGCCGATCGCCGATGAAGAGAAAGACGAGAATGAATGAAAAGACAAGGCCCTGAGGAACACCGCAAGACACTGGGATGGTGTGCGTCTACATATGTGTGTTTTTTTTTTGTGTGTGTGTGTGTGTGTGCATTAATTTATGTGTGTTTACATACACACACAAATAATTATTATTACAATTATTATCAGTTCTTCGTACAATATGTATGACTGTACAAGGATTTGTGTTTCCGGAGACGGCTGAAGAGTTCTATACTGGCAAAAAAGCTGCGATTTCGACATTGAATTCCTGAGTTTGACGGAATATCTTTTTACGCCGAATGCCGACTTTGCTTTTTGCATTTATGTCGGGCGGCAGAGATGGGACGGTTTCCAAACTCCCACCACGTTTCTCCTTGATTGTTTTTTTCAGTCATTGCAAGCGGTTAGCTGCAACATTCTCAAAGAGGGTCTGGATCTGCTGAACCACATTTCCTGAAGGTTTCATACGGCGTGTCCTTGCGGCTGGCCATCATCCTTCGACCTTTGAGCCTATACATTTCAATTTTTTTTTTTTTTATCTCATTCGACTTAGCTATATCGACGGATTTTTTTTTTATTGGTCAAAATATTTGGCGGATAAAGTAAGGAATATCCTTATATTTGGGTTACATTATTGCGTTTTATAGATAATATATGTCTTTTTGATTTCTACTTTCTTTTTATTATGATTTAATTTGCGTTTTTTTTCATTATTATTAGAAAGTAACGGATGTAGAGGGAAGTGAGGCTTAAAGTAAATATAAACAAGGTATGTTTCTTTTTCCTTTTTCTTTTGTATTTATATTTTTTCTCTAAAGAAAGTATTTCTATTTGTATATGGGAAAGAGAGCAAGAGAGAGAAAGAGCGCGAGATAAAGAGTGTAAGAGATTAAGAGAGCGAGAGAGAGAGAGAGAAAGAGAGAGAGATAGAGAGAGAGATAGATAGATAGATAGAGAGAGAGAGAGAGAGAGAGAGATGTGTGTGTACAAATATATATATATATATATATATATATATATATATATATATATATATATATATACATATATATATATATGTGTGTGTGTGTGTGTGTGTGTGTGTGTGTGTGTGTGTGTGTGTGTAAATATATATACATACACACATACATATAGAATGATTCTCCTTCTCTCCCTTTTCTCTCTTCTTCCCCCATACATACATGTCTTCCAAGGTTGAATAAATAGCCACAGATACACTTTGTACTTTATTTACAAAAAAAAAATTGTCTCATAAAGACCACAGGAAAAGTTGCACTGGCCGGCAGCGCAACAATAATTGGCTCGAACTGAGGCAGTATGGCGTGGGCTGCAAGATACCACCACATATACATATATACGTACATATTATATATATGTATACACATACATAAATATATATGCATATATATATACATATATATATACAGGTACATATATATTAATATACATGCATACATATACATATATAAATATATATATATATATATATATATATATATATATATATATATATATATATATGTAAACATTCATATACATATAGATATATGTGTAAGTATATATATTCACTTATATTTATACACACAACAAATAAAATAACTGATTAAATTATCAATTTCTTAGATATAAAGTGAAGTTAGTATCAATGTTCCTCGTCAAGAAAAAATAAAACAAACACAAAATTATACAAAAAAAAATCATGCTTGTGTTGGCAGCCCTGAAGGGAAACTGGTAACCTTGGGAAGCAGGCGAGATGGCAACACTGCAACATATGGCAAGAAGTTATTTGAATGAAGTTGAGAGGGAGTTTATTATTCTATATGAGCAATGGATTCTCCCTCTTAAGGTCTATTTTATCCTTGATTTCCTACTGATTCACATCCTTAATTGAAACAGCGAGTACCACCGGGCCATTCCAAAGTACCACACTCATTACACAACACGACAGAAAATGTAAATATATATATAAAAAAGAACATATAGTATTTTGATTCAAATTTTCATTTTTTTTAATAGATACGATCAACAACAACTATAAATACTCGTATTAATATTATAAAAAAAGGACGGTGAGTTTTTGAGCGAAGGTTCCTTGCCTTTTCCCAACACCTCGCCCTCGAGATAAAACTGATTCTCTCGACCTTGTGAGTGACTCATCTTGCGAGTCAGCGAAGGCGAGTCAGCTGCCGATGAGTCAGCTCCTCGCACGCCCAGTCGCTTGTGAGTCAGTGGCAAGAGTCGCGAGTCAGCGAGGCGCGGAGGCTGGGTGGGCAAAGGGAGGGGGAGACAGAGAGATAAATAGGGCACTATGTACAGAGGGCGCGGCCGCGTCTCATGCGCTGCAGTCGACGCGCGCGCGCCTATTGCGTGGGGGAGGAGTGGGGGGAGGGGGACGTCCTGCCGAGGTTGTGTCGTTCTTGGGGCGGGAGGGGCGGGGGGTTAGTTGACCCGCTGCAGCTCGAAGAGGTTCTCCCTGATGGTGCCCTCCTCGGGGTCCTCGCCGGGGAAGCCCTCGGGCGCGGCCGCCTCGGGGAAGTTGTTGATGTAGTCGTCGGACACGGGCGACTGGACGACCTTCGAGCGCGGGCGCGTGATGGGCGTGGCCGGGCGCCGCAGCACCGGGCGCCGCGTGTTGGGCACGAGGACACGCCCGCGCTTCTCGCCCGCGGGGCCAGAGGCGAGGGCGGGCGCTGGCTTCTCCTTCGCGGGCGGAGGAGGCGTCGCGCCCTCCGGCTCGACGGCGTTGGAGGCCGCCGAGCCCTCGGCCGGGAGAGAGAGCGAGGAGGAACTGCTCTCCTGCTGGCTGCTGCTGCTGCTTTTGCTGCTGCTGTTGCTGCTGGATTTCTCCAGCTTCTGCAGCATGCCGGCGGCCGCGAGCAGCTGCGACGTGCTGGTGCGGCTCGACGTCTCCCGCGTCGACTCCGACGACGACGAGGTCTGCTCCTGGCGGAGGCCCTGGATGAGCCGCTGGCTCGGGAACAGGCGCTGCAGGCGCGGCGGGAGGCTGGGTCTGCCGGGGGAGTCTGAGGGGGGCGTGAGGTCGGTGCTGGGGAGGGCGGGGGGGTCCTGGGGGGGTCCCGCCACCACGGGCGTGAACACGGGCGCCACGATGAAGGGCATGAGGGGGATGACGGGCGGGAGCGCGGCGCCGGCGGGGTTAGAGGGGGCGGGCGCGGCGGCCGGCGTGGTGGCTGGCTGTGTGGTTAGTGGGGGGGAGCCTGGAAGGAGGGCGGGCGGTTAGACGTGGCGGGGGGAGGGGCATGTGGGGTTCTCTGATTGCATGGAGGCTCGCGGCCTGGGGAGGCATGTCCGTCAGTCACAAGTCAGGCATGCACTGTGTATGTGTGGGGAGGGGGGAGGGGCATGGGTAAGCTTGGGAGGGGCATGGGCAAGCCTTGGAGGGGCGTGGGTAAGTCTGGGTGGGGGGGGGGGCTCACAAGTAAGTCTGGATGAGGCAGGGGATAGGGCCGGGGAGGGGCAGGGGTGGGCAGGGAGGTAGGGTGGTAGGGGGAGTTGGTTAGTTAGTTAGTTACCAGTTCTGGTGTTAGTAAAGAATGTTCCTGGTCTTCTTCGGTCCAGGCGAGCTCCGAAGGGCAGGATTGGGTCGCGTCTCTGGGGGAACACGAAGCCGATGTTGTTCCTCTGCGGCTGCACGTCCGAGAGCGACTTGCCCGAGGCGCCGGCCCGCACGTCCACTACGCCTGTGATGCTGCAAGGGGGAGAGAGATCATTAGCGTCTGCCTTCTCGTCCTCTCTTTCTCTTCTCTCGTGCGGGAGGGCGGGTGAGAACTCCTCTAGAATGCTGTTTGGTTAAGGTGGGTATCTTTAATGAATATATTTGAGTAGGGTGTTGTTTACGTTAGCCTATGCAGTCAAAGAGTTTATGTCATTCACAGAACTAAGCAAGGTCGTCCGTCTTTCCTTCCGTGTCCCCGGGCAGTCGTAAGTGGCCTAAGCGTCATACCTGTGGCAGTCCTTTCGTCAGCGAGTCCGTCATACTTACGTCTGCTCCTCGTCAGCCTTCTCGGCAGGAGGAGCCTCCGCCGGGGCCTCCTCCTGCTCTACCTCAGTCACCTCCTGGCGCTCCACCTCCTTCACGGTACCTGCGGCTTTCTCCCCCGTGGCGTCCTTGGCGTTGCTCTTCTTCAGGTCGCCCGCGAGGATGACGGAGACGCTGGGGCGCCGCCTGAGGGTGCCGTTGGGCCTTCCGGCGAAGCGTCCGGGAGTCCTTTGCGAGAAGGGGCGGCGGGCGAGGGGGCGGATACGCTTGCGCAGGATCACTCCGCGGGGCGTCGACGGCGAGACCTCTGGGGTCGCGGGCGTGGTGGGCGCCTCGGTCTCCTCTACCTCCTCTTCGGTCGTGGTCGAAGGCTGCGGGGGGGTCGTGGTGGTCGGTCGGACAGTGGTTGTGGTTGTGGTTGTCGGTCTGGCTGTGGTGGTAGTGGTGGTGGTCGTTGTGGTTGTAGGTTCAGTTGTGGTAGTGGTAGTGGTGGTGGTGGTTGTGGTGGTAGTGGGTTCGGCCTCGGTGGTGGTCCGGGCGGTAAACCTAGTTTGCTTTTCCTCCGCGACGACCGGCTTGGTGCCCGCGGAGACCTTGGTCTGGGCGCGCGAGGACAGCGAGTTGCCCGCGCCGCCGACCCTCACGGACCTGGCGGTCCCGCGCGTCTCGCGAACGGTCTCCTCACCTGCGAATCGGGTCCTGGGCGAGCGGTTCCCGAAGACGATCTGGACCCGTTGGCCCGGGGCGCTGTACTCGAAGCCCGCCTCGGCGCTGTCGAACGGCTTGAAGTTCCTGACCCGGCGGGGCGCTCCGTCCTCGGGCTTCCGCCGCACGACCAGCGGCCGCAGCCTGGGCCCGGCCGCCTGGCCCGAGGCCGCGCTCGCGCTTTGGGTTAGGGTTAGACTCTTTGCTGTGTTAGCGGCGCCGGAGGACTGGCCTGCTGTGCGTACGTCGATTGTGTCAGTGAGAGAGGTGCTGCAAAGACGAGGGCGAGAGGTCAGAGGCCAGCAAACGGGAGGTCAGGGAGGCTGCGAGCTCGGGTCAAAGGTCATGCGGATTCCAAAATGACGAACTCTGAATTGGTTCTAAGAAACTGATATCTAAATTACAATAAATCTATTTTTTTTCTATAGATTTATTAACCGTACATGAAGATCACGTCATTGTGGAATCAAATCTTATTGACAGAGCTCTGGAAGGTGACCAGAGTTTGCACCGAGAGGTTAGTGGAAAAGGGAAGGAAATATGTAAATAACGAGCGAGCAAGAAGTTATAGAGACGAAATCCCACCGATGTTTTCCAAATGTTATCCAGGTCTCCATGCTGACCATAGCGACATTGTTTCCTACAGGATTACCACAGATGATCCAAAAAGCCTGCAACCAGATTACCATGCCAAATAAAAATCACTAATTACAGATCTAAATTAACCATTATTTCTTTATCCCTCGCGAGTCTGTAACCTAAAAAATGTGCAGTGAATAAACCCAATCGAGATTCTGGATTCCACTGTGCATAGAGTAGAGGCGTGTCTTGAGGTGTGAATAAAGAGGAAGACTTCATTTCCCTCTAGTAAAATCATCTAAGGATTCCTCTCTTTAATTTGCCATGAACCAAAAAAAATATATATAATTAATATTCATAGATCTGATATATTTTGGGCTCATACAAAAGAGTGAAGTTATCCCTGTAGATTTTACTAAGAAGAAAACGAGATCTCTCACGTTTAAAGAAACCGTGAATTTAATGTCACCGAAAGGCTTGGAAATTTGTGCAAAACCCAGTTTCACTAAAAAGTGATCCTCGAACTAATTGTGTTATAAAACCAATTAAAAAGATTTATAATGTGAAAAAACGGACTTGTTTTAAGACTAGTAATAAGGAGGGGACGGAGAAACTTTCGAACCGACAAAATAGACTGATTAAAAAGGCACTAATGGTGTGTCAGACAACCCTGTTTCGAAGCAAAAAAAAAATCGAGATGCACTGAAAAGCAGGGGAACAGAGGTGGAGGAAAGCTTTAAGGACGCGATTTTTATGTCTTGAGGATTACCAAGCACAAGGCAGGGAAAGTTTATGGGGGTAAATGGAGGGAGAGGAGGAGGAGGAGGAGGAGGAGGAAGCGATGGCGGCGGAGTGGGCCGATTCGAATCTTCTTCGGAAATTTCTTCATTGCTTCAGATGGGCGATGGCGCGGTTGGTCACGTGACCATAGATGGAGTTAGGTGACCTTGCGTGACCTTAAGTGAGGGGAAGACAGGGACGAGATTCCCATATCCCCTTTTTGAGCGGCGACGGAGGAGGGTGGTGGGAGGAGGAGGAAGAGGGAGCGATGTCCAAATGTGATCAGTAAATAACGTCACTCTCGCGAATGTTAGGTCAGGAGTGGTCACGTCAGGCTCCGTCGTCAGTTCGAGTTGGGACTAAATTTGTCACAAAATCTTCACCTGACTTAGTGGGTTAGTATCTTTTTATACACACAAAACACAAACACATATATTTCTGTGATTAGTATTGGTTACCACACAAAAACACGGGTCGCACAGTATATACTCGAATGTAGAAGTGACAATACACAGTAATGAGTATGTGAATATACCCCTACTAGGAATACCACAACACTCACCATGAGCATCTACCATTGAGTATCTACCAATACAATTAACTACACACAAGCAGTATCTACCAACACACATGTAACATATAATACAAAGGACACAGGACAACATATAATCTACATATACTATGACTTACCAAAATCTAATAGATTACTCAACAAAGACCGTTAGTATATTTTGTACTGTAGTATATCATGTTAGTATTCAGGTGACTAACTACCAACCGGTGTCATGGTTAACTGACATGTTATTAAGTAATATTTAAATGTCTTAAACACTATAAGGATATATATGTGATAGCAGTTGAATGTATTATTGAGCAATGTTATCTAAATCTTCTCGATTTAAACAATTCTAAGCAGAATGTAACTAAAACAATCTATGCATCAGTCTTCAAGGTACGAAAGCATCTTTTAACTAATTAATGAAAAATAGAGGCTAAAAAACGTGACTAATGCAGAATAGCAGTGAAAGAGAACGAACGATTCCACGAATTCAAGATATACACCAAGAACTGCATATACTCTAACTCGGAAAGGACACGTTCTCATTCATTCACAAATCCGCATGAATGGAAAAAAGTGGGATCTACTCTGTGTACGAGGAGACGGTAGTGTGACTCACTCGGTGGCAGGGGGCGAGTACAGCTGATCGGGTTCCTGAGGTGCTGACTCAACCCGGAGGTCGAAGTCATTGGTGAGGGTTCTGTTGAGGTGCAAAGAGTGTGTTATTTTCTTCCCCCTGTTCGCCTGTTTGCGTGTGAGTGCGGGCGAGTATGTGTGGTTTGCGTGCGGACACCCACGAGACTTGAACACACGTGAAGACTATATAAACTACAGGACATGCATTTCTGGACAACAAGACATTTGACGTTTGGACATGTAGACAGACAGACGGACAATTAAACACATATACAGACACATGTAAACAGACAGATGACAAGACAAGATGGGATTTTTAGGAGCACTTACGGTGACGGGACTTCCTGAATCACATCTGCCGCAGCGGAGTCAAGGAGAGCGCTGTGGAAACAAAGGACTGAGGTCAGACATGGGGTGTACGTTTTATATATGTGTGTGTATATGTATGTGCACATAAACACACATTTGCACTGAGGGGTTGGCTTATATATTATATGTGTGTATGTATCTATATTTATATATACACAACACTTGTACGGCAGGGTGATGCCTCTTAAGGGGCGTGATGCGTTTTCTTTCTCTCTTTAGTGGTTCAAAAAAAGGATGACAGAGACAAGCATCGATCCATTCGTTCATCCTTGGATTAGTGCGTCGAGGAAAAAAAATCCATTTACACCCGAGGGTCCTATTAGTACGCTCCTAATTTCATTAATTAGTTTAAGAGCAACATATCGCGCACTGCTAAATGACAAGGCCTGGCACTGCACGTGTTAGTCTACGGCCCTCGAGAGCGAGGAGCAAGACACAATGCGCTCTGGGGTCTGAAGAGAGAGAAGAGTGAGAAAATAAAGGCTCGTTCGTTCCGACTTACTTGGATGGCGGGGCGACTTGCTGGGGGTCCTGGGAGAAGGGGGGGAAGGATGGGGAGGAGGAGGAGGAGGAGGGGTCAGCCAAGGGGAGGGCGCTCATGTCTGGGGTCTTCACCTGGGGGGAGGTGGCAGCGAGGGGCACGCCGATGGCATCCTGCACGGCGGCCGAGGAGAAGGACTGGAGCAACTGGGGCTCAGACACGGAGTTGAACTGAACGGGGGACACGGGGATCACCTGGCTCTGGCCGGGGTTGTTCGGGAAGATGGAGGCGTCCTGGCCCACGGAGCCCGAGCCCGAGAGGGGCACCTGCACGATGGAGCCGCTGCCGAAGGCCTGGGGGTCGGCCTGCTCGACGGCGGGGAAAGCGGGGGGAGGAGGGAAGTTCTGAGCGGGTGCGACGGCACTGAGGGGCACTCCGCCCGTGCTCAATGGTGCGAGATTACCGACCGAAGGGAACACCTGCGTGATCTGAGAGGCGCCGCTGTCTCTCGGGGCTGAGCTCAGTCCCGGCAGGGGCACTCCAACGGATGCTGGCTGGGAGACGAAAGTGGCCTGTGGTTGGCCGGCATCAGGGGCAGCAGCGGCGCCCTGGGAGAAGGAGGAGAAGGAAGTATCCTCAAGAATTCCTACAGTATCCTGAAATACGAGGCTGTTTCCCTGCCCCTGAGGAATGCCGCCGGACACCAAGATGCCATCGGCCTGAGGCGTGAAGATGTCGGGAGCGTTGGGCACGACCATGGTGAGCACAGCCTGCTGGATGTTGCTCTGCGGCGCCTGGCCTGCCTGCGGCTGCTCGACGAACACCTGCTGCGGCTCGGAGATGAACACGCTCTCCGGCTGGGACACGGACACCACCTGCGGCTCAGAGATGGACACGACCTGGCTGTCGCCGGCCTCGCCCTGGCTGGAGCCTACGAACTGGGGGGAGCCCAGGCCGGCGAGGGGGACGCCCACCGGAGCCGTGATTGCCTGGAGATCGCCTTCGGAGCGAATGTCGGGAAGGGAAGTCTGCGGGATGCCGCTGGACACCAAAATCCCATCGGCCTGGGGCGTGAAGATGTCAGGGGCGTTGGGGATGACCATCGTGAGCACGGCCTGCTGGATGTTCGTTTCGGGAGCAGAGAAAGCCTGGCCTGCCTGCGGCTGCTCGACGGACACCACCTGCGGCTGGGAAACGGACACGCTCTCCGGCTGCGACACGGACACCACCTGCGGCTCGGAAACGGACAGCACCTCGCTACCACCGACCGCTCCCTGGCTAGAGCCTACGAACTGGGGGGAACTCAGGCCGGGGAGGGGGACACCTGCCGCGGCCGAGGTGTCCTGAAGAACCCCTTGTGAGCGAATATCGGGAAAGGAGGATTGGGTAGGAGGTTGGGCATCTTCAAGCTGGATGACGGAGAAAGGGACGTCGCCAGCTGGATCAAGTAGAGTCGCCGTCAGTAGGCTGGGGAGACATGCAACACCCTCGTTAGCATGCACATGGCACTTCCGGGGCACGGAGGGGGGAGGGGGAGGACGGCAGTCGTTGCTACTTTAGATGTACCTTAAGCAATCCCACTTTTTTAATTCGTTTATTTCATTATCATTATTATTTTTATTTACTTTTCTTTATTTTATTTACTTTTTCTTTTAGGGCGTGGCTCAAGTGCACAATGAACGTAAGGAAAGTGAGTTCATGGTGACATAAAGAGAAACATGACTATAAAATTGTAGGAAAAAGAAAATCATTGTTAGATTTAATAGAAATATCACGTTTCCCGCATACAGAGAGGCATGAATGAGAATGAATAAACTTTACAACGCAAAGGATGTAAGCGATACGTCCCGATTAATTATGCATCAGAATTACAAGCATCAGTTATATACCTTTCGTTTAAGGAGTTATTCATTTTCATTCACCCTTTTCTTCAGAGGAAGATGATCTGATTATCACATCTAATAATGATTTTATGATCTTGAATATTTTGTTGAATATTAACCGTTAATATTATTATTTTTCTTTTTTTTGAAAAAGGGATTGCTTTTGGTAAAAATCGTTTTAATATACTTCATGCACAACAACGTGCAAAAAATGAATAACAGTTTCCTTCAGAATCTACCTCAAGTTATTCATGCTTTTGTTGAATTATTAACAATTCAACAGCATTATATTTCATCTACAGAATAATAAATGTATATCAGTCTACATCAATAAACAAACTGGAGGGCGGACAGTACGTGCTTAAGTAGTGCTGATAAAGTGTGTGTGTTTGTGTGTTCATTTGTGTGTGCGTAAGTGTGTGTTCATTTGCGTGTGTGTGTGTGTGTGTGTGTGTGTGTGTGTGTGTGTGTGTGTGTGTGTGTGTGTGTGTGTGTGTGTGTGTGTGTGTGTGCGTGTGTGTGTGTGTGTGTACGTGAGTAGGTCTACAAATATGTGTATGCTTGAATTTACAGAAGTGCGTGGGAGCTTTAAATACATATATATCCAGTTTTGGGTAAGTATACAGGGAATATATGTGAACTATAATACATATAAACAGTGTGATTCCTTTATATGTGCCGTTTATGAGTATGAATATATTTTATGATTGTGCAGAAGTGTGCTTTCTTTTAAAAGTGAAAGTGTAACGTCCTTCGGAAAGGATAGTCTTTTTGATTTAGAAAATTTAGATATGGAACGTGTGAAGTGAAAATGGTTTATTTGATATCAACTTAGTCTTAATATGCGGAGAATGGTTTATTTGATATCAATTAGATTTTGATATATGGAATATGTGAAGCAAAAATGGTTTATCTGATATGAGCTTGTAATGTGAAAATGGTTTATGTGATATTGGCATTAATTATGAATGTTGCGTGGCAGTCTTAGGCAGTTGGGATGATGTTCGTATGACGAGGAACCGGAACTGGGTCCTCGAGAAGCGGGGGGAGGGGGGGGGTTAAGGGTATTTGGGGCGGTCCACTTTTCGAAAGGTCACTCACCTCTGGCCTTCTGGCTGGGACACGGTCAGGATCTCAGGCTCGGACACAGTCAGGACCTCAGGCTGGGACACGGTCAGGATCTCGGGCTGGGACACGGTCAGGATCTCGGGCTGGGACACGGTCAGGATCTCGGGCTGGGACACGGACACAACTTCGGGCTCGGACACGGCAGCGAGCTCGGGAAGGGACACCCCGACGGACTGGGGATCCTGCGCGGCGCCGAAGGTCTCGTCCACGAACTGAGCCTGGCCGACGGTGGTGACGTCTTGCCCGAAGTCTCCGGCGCGAATGGCGGTGTCGGGGATGAAACTGTCAAAGTTGATCGGTTCGTCGGCCACGATGAAGTCCGCGATGGTCACGGGGTTGTCGGCAAGGACGGGGTCTTGGAAGGTCGCCGGGGCCTCGTAGATGGCGGGGACGTCAGGCTCGGACACCGTCAGCACCTCGGGCTGGGACACGGACACGATGGTAGGCTCGCCGATGGACTGGAGTTGGGCGTCGGAAACCGAAACCAGCTCGGGGAGACCTGCTGACCCTTCGGAGGAGCTGAGGAAGATGGGCTGACCCTCGCTGATGACCTGGGGCTCCGAGAGGGAGAAGGTGATGTCGGGGAGGGGGACGCCGGTCGAGCTGGAAGAAGGGACGAGAGGGAAAATTAGATTCACGCGCGTTTATTACAGATTTTATAATATAACATCAATGTCATTCAGGAAAGTCAGACGCGAAGGAATGGGTTAGTGGTTCATGCGCAGGTTTTTCTCTGATAGATAGAGTGGAATGTGGTCATGCAATCCTCATGAAGGGTGTCGGGACATGCAGGGTGCGGCGGAGGTGTGAGGTGTCTGGAAGAATGTACTCCAGGACTCAGCAAACCTTCTTGGAGGAGGTTCCTGGCCGGAGGTGTCGATGGGCGTGGGGTTGGAGGTTAGAGACGAGGATGGAGGAGATATTGACGGTGATGGAGATGGCGGGCGAGCCTGTGCCACAGCCTGCGGCATCTCCATCATGGGCATCGGGAAAATAAGCAGAGGCAGAAACACGTCTGGGGCGCCGGTGGGGAGCTGGGAGGAGGGGGAATCTGAGGGCACGAGGTAGGGCACGTTGACAATGGGGAAAGACATCTGGGGGAGGGTGGGGGACGTCGGGTCGGACGACGCTTGGGGAAGGAGTGCCTGAAGGAAGCCAGAATCCATGAAGGCGGACGCGGGGGCCACCGTGAACCCGGTCATCTGCATATCGAAGTGGTTCTCGTGTTGCGGCTCGGTCTCAGGGGGCGGCACCAGGTTCTGTTCTGGAAGCTGAACTTCATTTTGCATCTCCTGGATCTGATGGAACATCTGGAGCCCTTGCAAGATATCAAACATATTTATCTGTGCTGCAAACGGAAAAGTTGCTGGTTGGACGAGCGGTGCATGCATTGGCTCGCTGCCTGTCTCGGCGTGAGTGCCAGTCATAAAAGTTTCTGAATCACCACCCATTGTTGGGAGGAAGGAATCCAAGGCATTTCCACTCTCCTCTTGGGATGCTTCAAGTGGCGAGACTTTCAGGGGATTAGAATTATTTCTCAGAGCCTCGGTCAGACTAAAGATGGCACCTGTCGAAGCCTCCGAACTCTCTAATACGTCATTTGATCCTGCCACAAGTCGTGACAGGGCCAGGAGCAGGGTGGGGTCCGGAGCCAAGGAGGTCGTCTCTGACCCTATCAGTATTTCCCGCACACCCGATGTCTCCGGGGCAAAGGTCGAGTCGTTGGAAGCGACTTCTTCCTCCAGCGAGAGGTCATTTGAGATTCCAGTCGTGAAGAGTTCCAAGTTGGAGAAGTCTGTCACAAAGTCAGATTCATCATCACTCTCTTCAGCAGAGTCGTCTGAGAGGAAAATGTTGCCTTTAAGGTCGTCTTCTAGACTAATGGGAGACACGATCTGTGCAATTTCCGGTGATGACACATTGGCAGGTTGTTGTTCCTCATTCTGAGTCGTCTCGTTGGGTAAAAACACTAATTGGATGTCCTCTGAAGTTCCTACAGTTGAAAGCAAGATAGAACCTTCTTCTAAAGACACATTCTTAAACCCAGAACCGAATGCTGACTGCAAATCATCTTGGAAACCAGTGAAATTACCTTGAATTATTTCCTGGTTATTTCCAAGTTCCTTTGGCAAAATAAAGGAGTTCAGTTCAGGTAAGTCAAAGAAAGGGTTAATGAAGATATCCTCAGTACCTTTTTCTTCAGTGCCATCAATCTCTCCGTGTTCATTGTCCTCAATTCCCACAACAGGTGTGGTGAGATTTATTAGTGCATCTTGTGAAGAATTAACAAATGAATCTTCAACGACAATAATTGACGTGTTTCGAATCAGGTCGAGACTCTTGCCAGAGGAATTGACACCTTGGTCTACAATGACTATCGCAGGGAGCTCTGGAGGTTCAGTAACATTTACAGTTTCCGGCTGAGAGGCTGAGACGGTCAGCGGCTGACTGATGTTCAGGACCTCTGCCTCTGACACGGAAACCACCTCCGGGTTACTTGCGTTCCCCTGCGAGGAAGAGATAAACACCGCCGGCGACAGGACAATTTCCGTGATTTCGTCGACTGGAAGGAAAGAAGCGGCTGTGTCTGTCACGAGGCTCGCTATAGGGAGAGGCAGTGCTGTCGAGTTCTCCACCACGGAGGCGGGCGTTGAGGACGGAGGGTCAGAGGAGGGGTCAAGGAACAGGTCAATGGTCGAATGGTCGTCTCCTTCGACCTCTTTACTATCCTGGACTTCAATCTCGTTTCCAGTGAAGAAAACTGTATTCAAATCCCTTACTAAGTCCCGTGGGAATTCGGGATTCGAACCATCGTCGGGTAGTACCGAAGTATCACCGATTTGGTTCGATTCGGTGACGTCACCAGCGTCCGCAATGCCAGCAACCTCATCATTCGAATCTACAGTGACGACTGGCGAACCTTCCAGAACCTTATCCAGAACCAAAGCATTATCCTCGCCACTGTCACTGATTAGAGGGTTGTCCACGCCGCCCAGATTGAGGAGGCCGACGAAGGACGAGAGATCTAACCCCGTGGCATTTCCCTCGGCGTTAGACACGTCTCCAATGGCGTCTTTCGGGATCAGAATATCTTCCTGTCCCTCACTCAGGAGGAGGATATCTGGGGTAGGGGAGCTAGGGACAGGGGACGGGGAGGAATTAAGGATCGTGGCTGGGGAATCCAGTCCTTCGTTGGTGACTGGGGCTTGTAAGCGTCCAAATGCTCCAAAGTCAACAATGGCGGGCGGGGGAGATCTGTCGGTTCACACCATTAAGGGTTAGTTGGTTTTGGCCGGGGGGAGGGGGGGGGATACGAGCCTGGTTTGATTTTTTTTTTTTTTTTTTTTTTTTTTGGCGGGGGAAACGTGATTAGTTCAAAAATGCTATTCATTTTATTAGTAATTCGTTGCGTTTCTTCACTACTAGTCTACCTTTCTCTCTATTTTCGTTTTGTTTTCGGTTGTTCTGTTAGTATTAGTATTAGTATTATTAATAGTATATGATAACCGTCTTGACGAGGAAAATATACAATTGAAAGTGTAGAAAATGTGGACAATTCTACGTTAGTGTGTTATTTTCCAACTTTGAATCCTATGATGATGTTAGTTACAAGCAAGTTAGTCATTCTTTCGTACTGCAGTTAACATAGCAAAGCAAAATACACACACATACTCACACACACAAAGCAACAACTGAAATTTCACAAACAAAGCGTTGACGAATTTTCATTTAGGTCACAAGAAAAAAATAAAAATAAATAAATCTCTTTCATTCTGGTTCAGAGATAATTCAATATCGGAAGACCCAAGAAAAGTTCTTAAGAACAAATGTAGGCCTACATTTGTTCACCTTTATGACTGATACAAAAATCTGCCTTCATCCCAGACCTTTGAATTCCCTTCAATTTCTTTTTTTTCTCATTAACAACAAAAAAAAAAATAATAATAATAACAATAATAATAAGAATAATAAATGATAATAATTATAAAAAATAAATTCTTCAACGCCCTGTATGTAAGCATCATCATCATCATCATCGTCATCAAACGTGCTAAGCAATCACACAAATATGTACAAACGAGTTAGTTCATTACGAGTGTTAAAAAAAATTTGCTTTTTTTAAAGACTTACAAATCATCGATGATCACCGGGGCTTCTGCAGAAACGATCTATGGAAAGGAAAATGGGTTACGATTTTTAGTTTTATATATTTTATTTTACATATAAGAAATCTTAATTTGATTTTCTGTATTCTTCTTCTGATGTTTTTAATTTTATAATTTCTTTTTTATTGATAATTCATCTTATAACTCAACTTCATAATCAAATTCGTAATCTTTAATTCAGTAATACCGGACATAATATCACTAAAATATCTTTTATTTTTTGGAAATGTACGTAATCATGCATGCATACGAGCATTAGAAATAAAAGAAAAGACATAAAAAACAGACATAAACACTCAAACAAACAAGCAGTCAGACGCAAACAAACAAGCAGTCAGACGCAAACAAACAGGCAGTTAGACGCAAACAAACAAGCAGTCAGACGCAAACAAACAAGCAGTCAGACGCAAACAAACAAGCAGTCAGACGCAAACAAACAAGCAGTCAGACGCAAACAAACAAGCAGTCAGACGCAAACAAACAAGCAGTTAGACGCAAACAAACAAGCAGTCAGACGCAAACAAACAAGCAGTTAGACGCAAACAAACAAGCAGTCAGACGCAAACAAACAAGCAGTCACACGCAAACAAAAGGAAAATAACAAAATCCCATAATTACATCAAAAGAATCGCGGACGGAATCTTCAGGAAGGATGCTGATGGTCGGAGCTGGAACGCCTGGAAAAAAATGTTGAATTAAGTATTAAATCAAGTATTGAATTTAAATAGAATTATTGAATTAAGTATTATTTAGTTAACTGAATACCATAGGCGAATAATAAATAAAATAACTAAATGAATAGATTAGCAAAATGTAATAAAAAACAAGAAAACAAACCCAGACTAGAAACACTAACTACAATTAACAAAAATATGTATATTTTTAAAAATCTGAATAAAACAAAACAACCACAACAAAAAGAAAAAAAAAACTAAAAAAAAGACGATCGGAAATATAAACCCAACAAGAAAACAAAAGCCATCAAAAACAAAATAAAAAAAAAACAAAAGAGCATCGGACTTCCTACCTTCAGTGATAAAGACAGGCTCGTCAAGAGGATCAGACACCACTGTGAAGGATTCGGTAGCGGGTTCTTCGGCTACAAGGATGACCTCGTTATTCAGGACAGGAAGGGCCACACCGCCTTCAATCACGCGGGGGTCACGGGAGACGTCTCTGTAATAAATAAAAAAATGTCAAATTACGTCGATTGGTTTGATGATTATAATTCGTAACGAGAAATTTGAATGCTTTACTCAGTACGAGAATTTTTGAATATATGTAAATTAAGTCAAGTGCTTCAACCTTCCACCAACTTTCAGTTTTCTCATTCTAAAGATACTAAAATCCATATAAAACACCAATTGTCTCATCCAATTACCAAAAAATAAACGTTAATATGAACCAAAAGAAAACGAGATTTCCAATTGAAAAAAAAACTACTCACTCTACGATGAAAATGGGTTCGTCATCAACAGGGGCGTCTGCGTTAAACCTAATGTCGAAAGCAGGGCTGCGGGGAAGAAAATAAGGAACTTTAGCCTATCATTTAGAATTTATTAATAGCAATCATTATCTGTAATCTTTTTTCATCATTAGTGTGGTTATCGGCCTTGCAATTAGTGTCATCACAGTCATTATTCTATCAATAGCATCAAATGACTACTCTCACAAATTAACTCGTTATCAATGCTATAACTGTCAAAATCATTATCACCATCATTACTATTATTACCACCAATATACCATAACTTAATAAATTATCATTACTATCATTATTATCAAGACATTGTCATTATTATCATGACATTGTCATTATTATCATTATTATCAAGACATTGTAATTATTATCAAGACATTGTCCTTATCATCACTATTATCAAGACATTATCCCTACTATCATTATTATCAAGACATTGTCATTATCATCACTATTATCAAGACATTATCCCTACTATCATTATTATCAAGCCAATGTCACTATTATCACTATCAAAACACCCTCATCACAACAGCCACCACCGTCGTCACGCCGCCATACTCACGCAGGAGGAGAGATCTCGATGATGCCCGGGGAGGACACTTCGCGGCCAACATCCACCGAGTCAATGGGGGCAGGACCAACGGGAGCAACGGAGACAACTGGAGCAACAGGTGCAACGGGAGCAACGGGAGCGACGACAACGGGTCCGGAAACTTCCATGGGCACCCAGGGGGCTTGGTCGCAGGCTTCGCAGTCGGGCTTCGAGGGCAGAGGGCGGTTGAGGTCGGGCAGGGGAGCCGAGGGGGATGGAGGGGGGTTGTAGCTACCTGTCGGGAAGGGGGCGGGGGCGGGGGCGACAGGGAGAGGGGCAGGGGCGATAGGGACGGGGGGAGGGTTGTAGTTGCCTGTAGGGGCTGGCACGGGGGCGACGGGGACGGGGGGAGGATTGTAGTTGCCTGTAGGCGCGGGCACGGGGGCGACTGGGACCGGTGGGGGCGCGTAGTTATCAGTAGGGACTGGGGGAGGGCCGTAGTTATCAGTAGGGACGGGAGGAGGGCCGTAGTTGTTCGAGGGGACGGGGACAGGGACGGGGGGAGGGCCATAGTTATCAGTAGGGACGGGGACTGGCAGAGGGACGGGTGGGGGTCCGTAGTTACCTGAGGGCACAGGGACTGGCGCTGAGGGAGCGATGATGTCTCCTGGCTTAGGGGAGCCGTAGCCGGGCTGGGGGGCCTGAGGGACGCCGTACGAGGGAGAGGGGGCGACAGGGGTGGGAGGGGGGGCGTAGGAACCGTGGGGTGCAGGAGGAGGGGGGCCATAGTTTCCTTTAGGTGGGGGAGGGGGAGGGCCATAATTTCCCTTGGGTGGGGCAGGGGGTGGGCCATAATTTCCCTTAGGGGCGGGAGGTGGAGGGCCATAATTTCCCTTAGGGGCGGGAGGTGGTGGGCCATAGTGTCCCTTGGGGGCGGGAGGTGGAGGGCCATATTGTCCCTTGGGTGGAGCAGGGGGTGGGCCATAATTTCCCTTGGGGGCGGGAGGTGGAGGGCCATAGTGTCCCTTAGGGGCGGGAGGTGGTGGGCCATAGTGTCCCTTAGGGGCGGGAGGTGGAGGGCCGTAGTGTCCCTTGGGTGGAGCGATGGGGCGAGGAGGTGGCCCGTGAGAGCCCTTGCCCTTGCCCTGGCCCTTACCCTTGGACGGGAAGGGAGCCTTGGGGGGCGGGCCGTAGTTGCCCTTGGGAGGGGCAGGAGGAGGCCCATAGGCGGGGCGGGGAGGAGGCCCGTACGAGGGGCGGGGGGCAGGGTGGTACTCCTGGCCGCCTCCCTTGCCCTTGCCGAAGCTGAACAGGTCCTTGATGCCCTTGAAGATGTCGAAGTCGAAGAAGCCCTTGCCGCCGCCTCCTCCCTTCCCCTTAGACGGAGGGGGAGGGGGAGGGGGAGGGCCGTAGACGGGGGCGGGGTACGAGCGCTCCTGGATCACGTGGTCGTGGCTGGACTGGGGCAGGGAGGCCGCGGCTGCCAGCACGGCCGCCAGGACGAACACCTGCGGGCGGAGGAGAAGGGAAGAAGGTCTTAGTCAAGTTCAGGGACTCTGGAAATGTCTTGGGGGAGGTGCTTAGGGGCGGGAGGTGGAGGGCCATAGTGTCCCTTAGGGGCGGGAGGTGGAGGGCCATAATTTCCCTTAGGGGCGGGAGGTGGAGGGCCATATTGTCCCTTGGGTGGAGCAGGGGGTGGGCCATAATTTCCCTTAGGGGCGGGAGGTGGAGGGCCATAATTTCCCTTAGGGGCGGGAGGTGGAGGGCCATAATTTCCCTTAGGGGCGGGAGGTGGAGGGCCATAATTTCCCTTAGGGGCGGGAGGTGGAGGGCCATAATTTCCCTTAGGGGCGGGAGGTGGAGGGCCATATTGTCCCTTGGGTGGAGCAGGGGGTGGGCCATAATTTCCCTTAGGGGCGGGAGGTGGTGGGCCATAGTGTCCCTTAGGGGCGGGAGGTGGTGGGCCATAGTGTCCCTTAGGGGCGGGAGGTGGTGGGCCATAGTGTCCCTTAGGGGCGGGAGGTGGAGGGCCATAATTTCCCTTAGGGGCGGGAGGTGGAGGGCCATATTGTCCCTTGGGTGGAGCAGGGGGTGGGCCATAATTTCCCTTAGGGGCGGGAGGTGGAGGGCCATAGTGTCCCTTAGGGGCGGGAGGTGGAGGGCCATAATTTCCCTTAGGGGCGGGAGGTGGTGGGCCATAGTGTCCCTTAGGGGCGGGAGGTGGAGGGCCATAATTTCCCTTAGGGGCGGGAGGTGGAGGGCCATAATTTCCCTTGGGTGGGGCAGGGGGTGGGCCATAATTTCCCTTAGGGGCGGGAGGTGGAGGGCCATAATTTCCCTTAGGGGCGGGAGGTGGAGGGCCATAGTGTCCCTTAGGGGCGGGAGGTGGAGGGCCATAATTTCCCTTAGGGGCGGGAGGTGGTGGGCCATAGTGTCCCTTAGGGGCGGGAGGTGGAGGGCCATAATTTCCCTTAGGGGCGGGAGGTGGAGGGCCATAATTTCCCTTAGGGGCGGGAGGTGGTGGGCCATAGTGTCCCTTGGGGGAGGTGGGGGGAGGGGGGAATGGGCTACGGGAGGGTGGGGGTTGAATTGGTAAGGCAAGGGATATTTTATTTTATTATCTTTCTTTTTATTTCATTATTATCTGGTTTATTGAAATTGAAGGACTACTGAGATTTAGAAATGAAATTGAATTACTAACAGATCACCAAACCAACACTGAAAATTCTATTGTTCTTGAAGGAAAAATATGAAAAATAATCAACTAAACAGTCCATATTCTATAGCGAATAAAGAACACTCCATCAGAAAAACTCTCGAAGTAATATAAAAAAAACACACACACAAAATGAACATCTAGTCTCTGGAATATAGAAATTCAGTGTTTACTAGACCCCTGCTGTGACGTCACGCGCGTGGTATTCAAATGGGTACGTCCTCTCGGCAGAAAAACTTTCCCGGGTTATATACGGGAAGAGAGAGCGTGGAATTTCGCTCTTATGTACCCACGTCATAGAGGCGAAGCGGGGAGAGAGAGAAAGGCGGGTTAGTTCATACCCATATTACCCACTTTCCCTATCGCACGTGTACTGCTATAAGACTCATGTTCCGATGCTTTGCCAGTGGCCGCGTAGCCCTTACGGATGTGGTCGTTAAGGGCAAAAGTTGGTCAGAGAGCTTTCAGAAAAAAAAGAAGAGAGAGAGAGAGAAAAAAATGGTGGATGATTGCTCGCCGTCTCTGGACCGTCCATTTTCTTTCGTAATGTAGAACGCTAGTAATCTTTCTTCTTTTTTTTTCTTTCTTAGCTTAATTCAGATACTTTAAGGATGTTTTATGAGAGATCTGAAGGAAAGCGAGGTAAAAGGGGGGGAGAGGGAAGCCGGAATATGAATTATAAGTGGATGTGAGCAAAGGAAGTCTCGCTTCCGGGAAAGAAATCTGAAGACAAGAAAGAGGATTCGGAAGGAGGATCCAGTACCGCAAGGCGAGGTATAAGTGGCATTAGATTCCACATCGCGAAACAAAAGAATACGCTCGAGACTATTAAAACCAATGCACGATCTATTAAAATGCAAAGAACAAGGGGCATGGAAAAAAGGAGAAAGAAATGAAGGAAAAAAGGCACATAAAAAAGGGAATAAATACTCGGT